TCACCAATGATACACCTCCATCGTTAAAGGATTTCCCAGATCCTCAAAGAATCAAATGGTTTGGTCATCTTATCAGAACAGAACAAAATAAGCGAGCAGCTAAAGCGAACTACATGAGAACAGCAGGCTACAAGTCAAGAGGTCGACGAAGAAAGATATGGGTGGAGGGATTAAAAAGGACACTACAGAAACGCAATATGACTTGAACACAAGCTATGCTCCTAGCAAATGACATAAATCTACATCTAAGTCCTCTCTGCAACACTTTAGTGCATACAAAGTAAAGGTCCATTTTCCACGCCTTTAGACGTATAGGGCATATAGGGCTAGACCCATATTTTATAGACCTAATCGGCACAAGATGGGAGATATGGTCAGCTTCACGCCGGCCGCCTTTACTTTTCGGGACTGCACCCGGTACCCACTTAAGGCTGGGTCGACTTGGGAGTCAAGGTCATTTTTGAAAGAAGTCTGGCTCCGCCAGGGAGCGAACCCACGACCTTCCAATCCACGGTGAGATGACTGTCTCTTTCTTATATTTTATGATAAGTTGTCTTCGAGCTCCCGCCTCTTTCCAAACATCGGTGTTGAGTTGAGTTGAGTCAACAATTGACATCACAGCACTCAGGGCATTTCCTTGCGTGCTCAGTCCTTATCTTCAGCAGCCAGCGCAGAGTTCCAAAACTGATGGTACCTGTCATAATCTGGTTATATGCCCGTCTTGCCTTTCCTCTGAGTGTTGTGAGCCAGACACCCAGGGGTCTCATTCTCTCCAGGCCATAATAATCTTCTTTTTCTACTGATTCCGTTGCTTGTTCCCAAAGGGCCTTGACCACATCTGCCTTGTCATGTATCAATTCACCACCCAGTGGTGCAGATCCAGCCAATCTGTCTGTCTATTCATTACCTTCTACACTGACATTGTCTAGAGATGAAAACATCAGGGCTGCTATTCAAACAAATCGTGTCTTTAAACCAGTGTTTCCCGAACTTTTCTTAATATGTGTGTATAGCGCCCTAACCTTAGTAAAAGTATAAATATTCGTGTCTTGGTTAAATTAATTATGAAGCTTTTACAATATTTAGCAGCACCCTTGTGAAGAGTTCGCGGCTCCCCGAAACGCCACGGAGCACAGTTTGGGAATCACTGCTTTAAACAAATGAAGCTTACCTTGAAAAAAGTCGAACTTTTCACATCTGGATAAGCTGCCAGCTGGGTTCCCCGGCTTCGTGGCTCTCCAGGGGCCGTGTATCCAATGTTGTCAAAATTTAGTCTGAAAGTCACGTGACATCCCTTCTCTGTGATGATTTCCTCCAGAACTTTAATCTCCACATCCACCTGTTTGTGGGACCACAATTCTGTAGAGTTAACCTTTCCTTACTCGCACATAATTGCTAGCACTTCGTCCCAATATGTAAGGCAATCATGACTTTGGCCCCCGGGCAAACCAGTGTGCTATGAAAACCCTATGTAAACCACTTACAAAAATGCGATGTAAATGGTCGATAATATTAGGCAAAGATTAAACGGTACAGTATGAAATCACTACGAACTTCTGTATGTGTGTATGTAAGTTGTACCCACCCAGGACATCACACAAAGCGATAAACATCCGGTGACACAAAGTGCCACCATGTGGATGAGGATATTTATGGCCAGGCTATATTTAGAGCCCCCTGCAAAAGCCAGGGTGGGGCTTCAAATAACGAAAATTTGTATTCCAAATGGGAGACAGGTGTTGCTACGAACCTCTAATATGGCTAGTAACTTACCATTCACAGAACAGCTTGAGACCACTTGGTTCGTGGAGCCCCCAGGCAAGTGCCCAGTGTGCCCATGAGTTAGGACGGCCCTTGTCCTAATATAACCTAACAGTTGAACAGGGTTTCTGGGACTTGTGCCCGTGTGATTCTCGTCCACATGGTGGCACTTTATGTCTCCAGGTGTTTGTCATTCGTTGTACGGCCCTGGTGGAGTTGATCGTCGGTCATTCCCTGGTTATCTTGCCTTCTAATATCGCATGTAGATAATGCTTCTACTTATTAGATGATTCTACTTGTGCTTTATATCCCCCAGTGGAGCATAGGCCATCAACCAACTCATGCTAATGCATGTAGTTCTCCTCATGCCCTCCCCATCTTTTTAGCTTCACTCTCTTTCTTTTTCTCACTGTGGTTTTTAGTCTGTCATTATTTCTATGCCCCGGTGGGTTCCAGTGCAAAGACATTCTAGTTATATTGTTCTCTGGGTTTCTCAAAATGTGTCCTATCCAACAGCAGCTTCTTTTCTTTACCTCTTGGTCCACGTGAACTATTAAAATGGAAGCTCAGTCAAAACTCAGTGAAGAATATTGTATTTATAATAGACAAGTTTGCACAGAACGTAGAATAAATTTCTTGTTTCTTGTTCTTTTGTCGTCTTCTTCTTCTGCTGCTGTTGCGGCTGCTGTTGCTGCTGTTGCTTCTTCTTCTTCTTCTTAGACTACTACGACTACTACTATTTCTACTGCTGCTGCTACAGTTGCTACTACTGCTGCTGCTGCTGCTAAAATTACTGCTACCACATTAGCTCCTGCTTTTGCTACTGCTACTGTTACTACTACTACTAATACTACTACTATTACTGCTACTGCTACTACTACTGCTGCTGCTGCTTCTGCTACTATTTCTGCTGCTACTTCTACTGCTACCACTACTGCTCCTGCCACTACTACTACTACTACTACTGATGCTGCTGCAGCTACTGCTGCTGCTGCTGCTCCTGCTGCTACTACTACTACTACTGCTGCTGCTGCTGCTATTATTATTATTATTATACCAGTGTGATTTCAAATGATAATAATAATAATAATACATAAAAAGGTGATGGTGATGATGATGATGATGATGATGATGATGATGAACAGTTGCGGGTTGTGGCGGAGTGAACAGCCAACCCTACAATGTAGACTAGTCGTGACGCTGACATCCCTAGCGGGCACGTCAAATTTCAAATTTTAACCCGTCCGGGGTGGAGGGGGGGGGGGGTATATAATCCCTCATATTAATATATACCTCTATCTGGTGAAATAAACATTTCTATACCTTCTAGTGGTTTTGAGAAGTCTACATTTTCAAACTTGCAACTGCGGGATAGATAATTCGTGAATATTATTCAGAAATTCCTGTAAGCCTTTTTACTCCTTGGGCACGAATACAGGACTTCTTTTCTAGAGACGCCATGCTTAGTCTAGGGCGGGCATTCTTTTGCCAGACCTCTAAGGTGTCGGGAGACGTTTTAATTCTCTCATTAACTTTGGCGCTTTCAAAGTACCAGTTTAATCTTTAAAGGATTCCTAAGCTTGGGTAAGTTGATTATAGTTTGCGAATACGTTGATATATGTCTTTTTAAAGTTGGCCACTGCTGCAGGGGGAAAGATTCAGCTGTGTGATTACACAGAACTGGGCCGTTCTTGATATCCAGACACTCCAGGCCTTAAATCAAACCTTTCCCGTCACAAGCTAACTAGTTTGTGCCGTACATGACACACACCATTGTAAAGATATTAAACCCAACAAATCTCTAACAAGACAACAGAGTTGTGTCGACTAGCAGACATATTTAAACTGGGTCAGCCTTCAACCGGCTAGATGCTGTGACGTCGAAGCAGGCGCCCTGAGTCAAGGTTAACTTTAACACGACAACATTGGGTGTGTAGTGGGCAGATTGTGGAGATATGTACATGTACGAACGAGATAGAATGTATGTCTGCGGGTGCAAATGGGAAGGTGGAGAGAGAATGATCTATGTGTAGTAGTGTCTATCTATCTCCACTATGTACCTGGTCTTCTATCTGGTTACTGACTTACAGACAAATAAATGGAAGAGGACATGGTCTCCTGTTCTTGAGAGTATACTCTGAGTGACTAAGAAGGCTAGCGGGAGATAAGTTGAGCTGGTGTGTGAATCTTAAGATGATTACTAATTCTGAGGGATATCTCCTTAGAAGTCATGCAGACGAATCACAGTTCAGCCAACAACAATCACCAACCCATACCATCCCTATCACCAAACCTACCCAAAACCCTACCTATTGTTGGCAGAGCTTCAGCATGGCAGGAGCTTGTGTGTGAGTTCCAGTGGCTGAGAGACAGTATTGCAGGCCACCTGTGTCATCAATCCAAGGAATCCTTCTTCAGGAGCTTGTATGTGAGTTCTAGTGGCTGAGAGACAGTATTACAGGCCACCTGTGTCATCAATCCAAGGAAGCCTTCTTCAGGATCTTTGTTGGGCTCCAGCGTAGTTCCTTTTTCCTCATATGTGAGACGATCAGTGTTTACCAGATCAACCAGAGGAAAAGCGATCTCTTTGAGTCAGCCGGTTCAAATCACCATGGACTGAGGAGAGCCGTGACCTACCAGATTGGTTAAGTAAAATCTGAGATGACATACATGCTCTCTCTACATGGCTACCTTTGGTTCACATGGATGATTTATACATTCTCAGAACTGTAACTGGCTGTTTCAACACCATCGTTGTGAGATTGAGTCCTGAATCCATTCACTGGAAACCATCTTGATTGTCTTTATTTATATATATATATATATTATATATATATATATATATATATATATATATATATATATATATGTGTGTGTGTGTGTGTGTGTGTGTGTGTGTGTGTGTGTGTGTGTGTGTGTGTGTGTGTGTGTTGAAATTATTACACCCTTTTTCAGAAATTTTCATGGCTGACTTGAGTGTCCATGTTTCATCATTCTAACTGTCGAGCTTTCATGTTTGTGTGATTAGTAGGTGTAATCTGTGTTAACATGGCTATGATAGTATACTATCATAACCTGGGGGCTATCTTTTTATAGTAGTGGGGGTGTCCAGCCAAGTGTGCCTAGGAATACTCGATATTCTGTAGTGCCAGAGCTTGAGTTGCCCTACTCCTGAAATAAGTTGGGCGTATATTGGCCACGGGATCTCCCTTAGACCAATACGAGCCAACGCCTCAACATTATTATTTCAGAGTGCTGTTGGTTCTTAAGGAGCAATCCTTAAATCAGGCATGCGACACGAGCGGTATGTGACAGGGAGGAAGAGGAGGAGGAGGAAGAAGTAACAACTGATGACTTTAGTTCGTTCAATATCTCATAATCACACTTGACAGCTATGTTCTCAAAAACTATCTGTTAAATCGCAATGATTTTTTTTTTTTTTTTTTTTGCATGCAACCTTAGAATATCTATGACGTTTAAGGAAACATATTTCTTTCACTAAAGAAGAACATCATATGTATAGTTTTTCTTTTCTTGACGATATCCATTTTTATCATAAAACTATCTTCGAAGACTTTTTGGAAGGTTTACTTTCATTAGTTTCAAGAAGCAATGCACACTATGACTGGTTTAACAGTGGGTCAAAGAAAAACTACGTAATTTCATGATTTTCTCGTGCAAAGTCGCACTCTTCGTGACCTGACGCCAAAATAAGACGTCGGTCAAGGTTATTTAGTCAAAGGCGCATTCACAAATTAGTGTCGAACTATAGCAGAATGACAACCATGGGGTAATCGTGGAAAAAGAAAGTTAAACTCCTACATTGAAAAACATTTTGGCGCACTGCATCAACTGCCCAATGACGTAGTAGGTAAATCCGGTACGCATGGAACGGTAGATGAGAATGCAGCCCTGTCTGTCCTCGGCTTGCACGATGAAGGAAGGACTCTGGAAGCATGAGATAAATATACAAATATGTCAAGAAGTCAATGTTACATCAAATATCTTCGTCGGGTCGCTCATTACCTCATGAGTAGCCAACTTCGTGGCCAGTCGGGACAGTATTTGGATCTATCTCCCTTGATCGCATTAACACTGCGGGAGTCATTGTCAGGGCTATTGGTGGCTGTGCAGTGCTAAGCCATTCTATTGGCGCACATATCATAGTCATAATTATAACCTAAAGCTCCTCCTTCGGGGTTGCTGGTTTGAACCAAGCAAAGCAAGCCAAACCAAGAAGTCAGTGCGTTATGAAAGGTGGCTTGTAGTACTCGTATTTGAAACCAAGGGCGCTAACACAAATAAACCCACGGAAAAGGGGGAAACGGGGAAAGAGTTGTCGTGACCCAGCTGACAGCTACATAAACACAGAAAAACAACTGTGGGTGGCAGTCTGTTAAATCCTGTGTTGATAAATTACTGTTTCCAGCTAACTGGCATCTGTTTCTGCTGCTCAGAGGTTGGATTATCTGATATCCGTGGCTGGGGTTTTTGATAGACGAAGCGCTGCAATAACATTCATTCGATATCTTTTTTTCTAAAATGATATGGGTGAAAAAGTCTTTTTCCCTCAAATAGGAATTGGAAAAAAAGACACACAGCTCTATACCGCAGGCATAGATATTTTTTTTACGAACGTACTATGCTAGGTGTAACGAGAAAAGATCGACTTAGGAACGATGATATCAGGAGGAGAGCCGGCAGAGAACAAGTACTGCTCTTCGTAGGTAGACTACAAATAAAATGGTTTGGCCATGTAACAAGATTGGTATCAGAGAGGGCACCACAGAGAAAAATTGTATACAGATACAACGGTACACGGGACACTCCTATAAGTGCTTAGTCCCTAACTTCAGCAGCAAAGAAAGAGTTCCAGTTCCGATGGTACCAGTAACCGTGTGATTGTAAATCCGTCTCATCCTTTCCCTGAGTGTTGAGCGCCGGCCAGATCCCCAGGTAACTCCTCGCAGCGTCATTCTTCTTAGACCGTAATGATCTATCTGCGCCTCCGCACTGTTCACTCGCTCCCAAAGGCCCTCACAAAATCTAACTTGTCATAGATCAATTCACCACCAAGTGGTGCACAGCCAGCCAGACTATCTGCCTGCTCATTTCCCAAAACAGAGAAGAAAAGAAGAGAAGACACAAAACAGTGAATGCATTTTAGATCTGCACACAAGACTGATATCAAAAGCCAACTCGATCTGCTTTTTTATGATAATCAAAGTATTCAGCTACCATCTTTAAATGCTGACTTGTTAGATCGAATATCACTTGTGGCTGGTTGACTCTCATTCTTGATGTGTTACTCCTACCGATTGCATTAGGTGATTAAGCAGAACATTCATTTCGCCCAATTGGGTTTTTCATGTTTCTCTCCCTCTCTCTCTCTTTCTTTCTCTCTCTCTCCCCCTCTCTCTCTAAAACAGCGTTGATGTATATCTGCTCTGTCCATGCGTCCTCCAGCATGCGTTGGTACATCACTTGCCAGTTAGTCCGCTCCTTTATTACCTGTTACTCCGGCATGTATATGTGTGTACATCCAGGAGAGTGATTTTAGTATAGCGACTGGTCTGAGGTCACAGGTCACACTGTGTTTCACTATCCTTCAGTCCCAGGAGGTGAAGCATCAGAGGCCCAAGGGATGGTACAGAAAAACATTTAATCGGCGCCTCTTGCGCCCACTGGGCTTGTAAGTATGAACCTATGAACGCATGATGCGTTCCTTGGGATTTAAGAAGTCAAAAAGAAAGTTTATCAACAGAACTAACAAACGCATAGCGATGGGCCTGGAAGCTGTGCGATAGACATGACCAATGAAGACATCTTTTCTAGGGGTGCCTAGTTAGTCATTCTTAGTAGACTCGTTTCCATAGCGAGGCGACTACGCCATTTGAAGGCGACAGGTTCGATACCCGACACGATGACTAGTGCTTTCAATGTTTATGTTATCTAGTGTGCCATTCTATTTTTCTTTTTCTTTTTATAACTGTCAATCAATACACACACACACACACACACACACACACACACACATATATATATATATATATATATATATATATATATATATATATATATATATACACGTCAGCATTCTAAGCCCTTGAGGTGCATTTCTGCAGATATTACCCGCCTCCATTCATCTCTCTGGTTGGCCTTCTCTTTCCAGCTGGTGACACCAAGTGTTTGTAGGTCCGTCCGGACACCATCTCTCCATCCTCCTCTTGGTCTGCCTCGTGGTCTACGACCAATCATCTCCCCCGTGCATACAGCCTCCTCCTCTTCGTCATCCGTCTCTCCCAACACGCCCCAGCTATCCCAGTCCATCAGCTCTCACGATGCCAGTGATCAGTGGCACCCTCCACTTCACACTGCCCACATCCTTGACGGGTCCAACGACTCCGTCGCAATACTCCGTTTAAGAAAACCTGAAACAAGGCCTCATCTCCTCTAGCATAGTTAGTTAGTTGCGTATCCTTTGCAGGACGTGGCAGAACCAACTCGAGCATTTTTGTGGCTGCTGTGGTTTGTAGTAGTTTGCCACTGCATCTGGACGGTCGGATTCTCGATTTTACTGTCGAAATCAACGCAAGGCGCAAGGCCCGCAGCTGGGATCGAACCCAGCACCCCGGCATTACGAAGCGCGTTCACAATGCCAAAGCCACATACGCCGACATATATTATATTAAATATAACCTCGGTATAGAAGAGTTAAAGCTGACTGTTGCTGTTGAAATGACATAAGTTGGAAGGACTTTAGTTAGAAGGACTTTAGTTGAAAGGACATCAGTTGTAAGGACTTTAGTTGGAAGGACATTAGTTGGAAGGACATTAGTTGGAAGGACTTTAGTTGGAAGGACTTTAGTTGGAAGGACTTTAGTTGGAAGGACTTTAGTTGGAAGGACTTTAGTTGAAAGGACATTAGTTGTAAGGACAGCAGCAACAGCAGCAGCAGAAGAAGAAGAAGAAGATGACGACGAAGAAAGAACAAGAAAAAAGAAATGTATACTGAATTCTGTGCAAACTTGAATATTATAAACATAATATTCTTCACTGAGTTTTGACTGAGCTTCCATTTCAATAGTTCACGTGGACCAAGAGGTAAAGAAAAAAAGCTGCTGTTGGATAGGAAACATATTGAGAAACCCAGAGAACAATATAACTAGAATTTCTTTGCACTGGAACCCACCGGGGCATTGAAATAATGGCAGACCAAAAACCACATTGAGAAAAAGAAAGAGAGTGAAGCTAAAAAGATGGAGAGGGTATGGGGAGAACTACATGCATTAGCATGAGTTGGTTGGAAGGACTTTATTTGAAAGGACTTTAGTTGGAAGGACATTAGTTGGAGAAACATTAGTTGGAAGGACATCAGTTGTAAGGACATTAGTTGGAAGGACATTAGTTGAAAGGACATTAGTTGGAAGGACTTTAGTTGGAAGGACATTAGATGAAAGGACTTTAGTTGAAAGGACTTTAGTTGGAAGGACTTTAGTTGGAAGGACTTTAGTTGAAAGGACATCAGTTGTAAGGACATTAGTTGGAAGGACATTAGTTGGAAGGACATTAGTTGGAAGGACTTTAGTTGGAAGGACTTTAGTTGGAAGGACTTTAGTTGGACTGACATTGTTTGGAAGGACATTGTTTGGAAGGACATTAGTTGGAAGGACATTAGTTGGAAGGTCTTTAGTTGGAAGAACTTTAGTTGGAAGGACATCAGTTGTAAGGACATTAGTTGGAAGGACATTAGTTGGAAGGACATTAGTTGAAAGGACTTCAGTTGAAAGGACGCCCGGCTCTCTGGCGTAGTTGGCTAAACCGGATTGCACGGAGACTAGGTGACGAACTCCTTGTGGTCCGGGTTCAATCCCGGATGTAGGCAGGAAAGCCACATTTCTCCCAGATTTACGGTATTTACAATGGAATCAAGGCCGAAACGTTGCAATATCCATAATACCGAGCCTAAGGGTTAACAACACATGGCTTCCGGATACTAAAACAAACAGTTGAAAGGACATCAGCTGTGAGTATATTAGTTGGAAGAACATTAGTTGGAAGGACATTAGTTGAAAGAACATTAGTTGGAAGGACATTAGTTGGAAGGACATTAGTTGGAAGGACATTAGTTGAAAGGACTCTAGTTTGTGTCACCTGCATCTTGGGGTGTGAGAACCTTATGGTCTCGTGGACATTGTCGATCTCGTTCAGGAAATCTCGGTAATTTCTTCCAGCCAATCTGGGGTAAATGAAAAACAGTCAACGTATCAATTATACACAAGTGCAGTTAGACACACAAAGACAAGCACAGGCAGACCAAGGTGCCGACAGAAAAACAACATGGGAAGGGGGAGGGACACTTTGGAAGGCGAATGGACACTTGGGAAGGGGGAGGGACACTTGGGAAGGGGAGGGACACTTGGGAAGGCGAAGGGACACTTGGGAAGGGGGAGGGACACGTGGGAAGGCGAAGGGACACTTGGGAAGGGGGAGGGACACTTGGGAAGGGGAAGGATACTTGAGAAGGCGAAGGGACACTTGGAAAGGGGGAGGGACACTCCGTTCAGGTACATATTTTCCAGAGGGACTGAAGGGACTGGGCGTGATGCTGACCACATCATCCATCTTGTGCCGATTGGTATATAAAGATATAGGACTAGCCCTATATGCCCTATACGCCTAAAGACGTGGAAAAAGAATAATTTTTTTTCAACTGAAGGGACTGAGCCTTGTCTCAGTGAGTAAAAATGATTGGGATGATGATGATAGTGATGAGGATGAAAGCGTCTGATGTTGATAATGATGATGATGATCTACTGAACGGCAAATAAATATAATAACAGGGGGAAAACTAATAGTAGAAGACATGGTACCAGAAAGAATGGGCAGGGGCCGACCATCACGAAGATGGGAACGGGATATAGGCAACTCCTTGGATTTGACACTGCACAAAGTGGGAAATCTGGTGAGAGACAGGGTATCTTTTTCATGCAGACCTTCTGCAAAGGACCCGCTACCAGGCCATAATTATAACCGAAGCTCGATCTGGTCAATTTTAAAAAAAAAATATAATAAACTGACAACAAGGTGGCATTTTCCAAAATGAGGAATATTTTATGCAATCTTTCTTTGTCAAATGAGACTAGAAAAGGAATTCTTAAAAGCTATATTTTCCTATCTTGATATACAGAAGTAAATCATGGACAGTTGCTAGTGGAAAATTTTTTGGAAGCTGTGGAGATGTGGTTTTACAGACGAATGATAAGAATACCTTGGACAGATAAAAAAAAAAAAAGTAATGAAGACATCTTGAATAAAACCGGCTCACAAAGAGAACTGGTTGCACACAACAGAAATAGACAATCTACATTCTTCTTTGTTCATGCGATGAGAAGGAGAAAACTGGAGTACATCGTGACTGTAGGAAAGTTTAAGGGGAAGGAGAGGCAGAGGGAGATCGAGAGAAAAGATGCTGGACAGTTTGACATCATCCCATGAGGATCATTTATGTTAGAATGGACTAAAACTTTAAGAAAAAGAAACTAACAACAATAACAAACCGTTCAGACTATAAATCTTTTTCTTCTTCGCGTTCACCGGCTTTAACTGTGGAGGAAAGTTCTGGTTGTTCGTCCACTTCAGGTCTCTAGTCCCGTTCCAGAAACTGAGTGTTGCGTACACATCCGTTTTACAGGTTTGACTTATTTGCATACAGACTGTTGGTTCCTTGCATGTCAGGCAGCTATACTCCGATTTGGAAGGAAGCTCCCATTTAGTCGACTCTTACGAACACGCTTATGGGCAGCCAGTAGGTCTATTCTTGTTTTTCCCACAACTGGGCCCCGGAACCCACACAGGTAGTCTATAAATAACGAAATGAGTTTAGCATCCTTTTCCGGATGTCCGGCTGGTGCTTTGTCCTTGACCTTTACTTGTTGACTAACCTGAGTATTTTATCGTAAGAAAACTTGCAGCAGAAGCTGACGAAACAGGCGCCAAAGTAAAGCATGGTGTCGTTGAGCTGCTGGTCCTCCAGCACCACACATGTGGCTTTGGCCAAGTTCAGCATCCACTCATCCGGGTACGTCTGTAGATTTGAAACCAGAGATGTGTATTGATTGGACAATAATAGCAGACTGTTAATTCTGATTCGCTGAGTATTTGCCGCCATTATTTCAAACATTCCGGAAATATTTACGAAAGTGGTGGTTCCTTTAAATAGAGGTTTGGGTCAATATGGTGGTGGACACGGGACACCCTAGGTATAGATTGCATGTCTTATAGCATGATACATGTGGCCTTGGCGGCGTCCGTGGTTTAGGCGTTGCGAGTCCCACTCGTAATTCCAACGTACCGCGATCGAAACCCACTGCTGACTGCGTGAATTTTCATCATGGCATGGGGCGTTGCAGGTCTGCCCAGCCTAAAGTGGGTACCAGGATGTTTGTCCTGGGGAAGTAAAGACTGCTGGTGTAATGTTGACCACATTGCCCACCTAGTGTCGATTGAGCTGTAAAAATATGGGATGCGCATTCCATATGCTCGATGCACCTTAGGCGTGAAAAGGGATCTTTACTTTACTTCCATGTGACCTTGATGTTTAGCCTCATCTCATCGGGAAGACGTCTGTGGATTTGAAACCAGAGATGCTTAGTGATTGGACAATACTAGCAGAACGCTAATTCTGATTCGTGGAGCATTTCCCGCCAAAATTTCAAACATGCATGGTTCGTGGAAGACGAAGCCTGGGTTGATATGAAGATAATTACCATAGGAACAGAATGCGGTTAGAAAAAGATCGTCTTTCCAGTACGCCATGATGAGGGAGATTTCGGTTGGAAGGAGGTTGGATCTTATCATCGCATCAGCACTGCAGGGGTCATTTTTCAGGAGCTCTTGATGGCGAGCAGATTTTAGCCACGAAAATGGAGCAGAAAAAGATCATGTTGAATTAAGAATCGACATCATAGCACTCGGGACATACACATAAGCGCTTTGTCCCGATCTTTAGCAGCAAACGAAGAGTTCAAATTCCGATGGCACCAGTAACTGTCTGATTGTATATCCGTCTCGCCTTTCCCTTGAGTGTTGAGCATCGGCCAGATCCCCTGGCAACTCCTCGCAGCGCCATTCTCCTAAGACCTTAATGACCTATTTGCGCTTTCGCAATGTTCACTCGTTCCCAGAGGGCCCTCACAACATCCAGCTTGTCCTACATTAGTTCACCACCAAGTGGTGCAGAACCGGCCAGTCTATCTGCCTGCCTATTTTCCAACACACTGGCATGACCTGGAGAGAATATCCAAAGGATGCTAACTGCCAGGGACCTCTAATGTGATGCTTCCCACTCTGCCCTGAGCATACCTGTCTCCACCTTTCTCAACATGCTTTGTGAGTCAGTTACATGTGTGTACAGCTGATTCTCAAGCCAGCGGAATGCAGCAGTGACTGCCTCCACCTCCATTCTCAAACTAGACGTTGTGGTATCATATGCCAGGCGTTGTTACACTAAGCGACGTCCATTCGCATTTGCTATAAACCCCCATGCACTTCGTCTGCCCCTCAACACAAAGCCATCAGTATAGATAATCACATCACTTGGGCGAGAACTGTCATGAATAAATAAAGAGAAACCACATAATAACCAAAAGCTGCCCCTTGGAGGATGCTTGTTAAACGTGACCCCCCCCCCCCCCCCCCCCGCCCCCTTTTTCCCTTTCAATGAACAACAACACACCGGTAGAAGAGTAAAGGACTCTTTCGCCCTTCAAGTGTATTGGACATATAGGGCTAGACCTATATCTTATAGACCACTCAGCACTCGGTGGATGATGTGGTCAACATCTCACCGGCTGCCTTTACTTCCCATTACTTTACCTGGTACCCACACAAGGCTGGGTCAACCTGGGAGTCAAGGTAATTTTCGAAACAAAACTCTAGCTCATTTCGGATTCGAACGCACGACCTTCGGATCCGCAGGCGAGCGACTATACGAGGAGTTTTATAATATAAAAGATCTAACACTGCTTACCTGAAGGGCGAAAAGTTTCAAGTACAATTTTTAAGTAAAGTTTGAACTTGAATGTCGCCTTGGAAACTAAACATATATATATATATACTGGAGCAGGTTAATTTAGTTTCTATTATTTTCAGTAGGAACAATTGCCTTGGAACTCAGAGGATTTAAAATATGGCCGCCGTCTCTGAAGGGATTTTGTTCGAATTCTAACTGGCGAAGTGGGCATATTGAAAGAGTGTCAGATGACAGAGAAGTAAAAACTGTAAACACAAGGGAGCTGAATGGTCGTAGACCACGAGGCAGACCAAGAACACCATGGAGAGATAATATCCAGACAGACCTGCAAATACTTGGTATTACCAACTGGAAACAGAAGGTCAATCAGAGAGACGAATGGAGGCGGGTGATATCTGCTGCAATGAACCTCAAGGGCTCGGAATGCTGAAGAAGAAGAGGAAGTGGGCAAGCCGTTACCCTCTGAAAGTTGCGGGCTTGTGTGACGGCTGCATCGTTCAGTTCACGAGTGCAATTTTACGGAGATCCCCGGGGTCGCCGCAGGAGTTACGGAGTTCGTGCACTGTGCGACGCTCTCGGTGGACGGCTGGCAGTTCTGCGGAGAGAGATTGAGCTATATGGGATAAAACCAAGTGCATTGAAGTGGATCCTCTCGACTTTAACCTTTAAAATGCAACCACTGTATTTTACTCACCATGTGCGGGATGAATATCACGTGTGGGATGCCTGCCTCCTCCAAGACCCGTCCCCAGAACTCCACACCGTAGTCTTGTTTGATGAAGAACTGGATGCTCTCGAACAACATCCCGTACATGCGACCTCGGGGTCGACGTCTCGTCGATCCACATGGCGTCTGCAAGTATACATTTGGAAAAAAAATAGAAGTATTGTTTCCAGATTTTATATTTATACACAAGGAGGCTGCGTGGTCTCGAGGCATCGTGTCCACCTCGAGTGCTAGGGGTGCTGGGTTCGATTCCCGGTAATAGCTGGGAATTTTTCACGTGGACTTAGACCTCCAGTAATTTACCCTGGTCTCTCGGTAGTTAGATCGGACGCCCGTGTGCATTGTTGCGCACGTAACACAAAATTCTTTGCCAGTTGGAAATCGAAAAGAATAGCCTAACGGCGCTGCCCGAGCAAAATTTTGAGTTAAAAATCTACCCAAAGTATTTCAGGATTCTCGCCGGTGCTACAGAGCTTGT